AACTCAGATTAGATCAATTTGGCAAGAATCAAAAAATTAGGATCAAGAACATTCTTAAGTGTCCATGTAGGACAGAGAAAAGGATATTGTTATTATGGAAGAGATAAATGTAAAGGTTACACTGATGCTAAGTTCCACACTGATAAAGACAAGTCTGTTCGTTGTCAGAATTTGTGCTTTTTCTGGATGGTGAAGTATTAGTTTGGAAGAGAACCAAAAAAAATACACCATAGTGGTTTTAACAACAAGCTTAGAGTATATTGTAGTTGTTTAAATTGCAAAGAAAACAATGTGACTAAAAGAGATTCATTAGTGACATCATTGTTGAAATTCAACCATTGATGGTTCTTTTGAAGGTTCTGGTGACTATAAGGGTGAACTTACCTCCAGTATGGATCCCAAGTCACACAAGCTCACATGAAACATACTCAGTAATTACCATTATATTTGATAGTTGTTCAAATGTGAAGACATCACAATCAATAAGTCATATCAGAAGATAATCTTGCCGATCTATTCCCTAAGCCAATGTCACTAACCAAGTTTGACATTCAGACAAAGTCAAGCACCATTAGATTTGCAAATAGATTGGCTTGAACAATTTTCGTATAGTTTTTTTTTAAACTTGAGAACTTAATCAATATAAGTCCTTTTGATTTAGTGATTATTACGTGGAGATCTTAATATATGATGGATATCAGTCATTTCAATTAGCTTCTCATTGTGTTATACTTTTTCATGTTTGGAACCCACTTCTCGAGTATTAATTTACTCAAAATTCCACGTTTGGTCATATTCTTGGAAGTAAGTAGTGATTCAAGATCTTCATGAGTATTAGTGGATTGTCTTAGTGATTGGGCGTATCATAGAGAGTGCGCTAACACTCATGGGTACTTAATAGTGATTTAGGTATTGGAACAACCCACACTTAAAGATTACTTCGTGGATACAGTCACGGGTAATTCTATTATGATAATATCTACTCTTCTTCAAACCAAGATACACATGGAGTTTTGCGCTATGATTATGCTATACACTGGTCTAATCCAACACTATCTGTAACTGGTAGTAATAAAGGGTATGTCCATGTATGATATGATGAAGTAGACAAAAACTATGTAGTAGAAATTTATTTGTTCCTTCTGCCTTAATAAGAAAAGCAATATCTATGGGCCCCTAGATGATTTGGTGCTGACATCTAAAGTGCTTGGCCGAGTCATCACCGAAATTGATGTGTTCTATTTATTAGTCAGATGCAGTCCTCACAAATCCATATTAGGAAACATAATCTTGAATTATGAGATTGACCATTATCCATGTCTCAAATTCATACAGATATCATAGAACGAAGGAAACGTTGATCACTTATCTAAGGGCTAAATTCTGATTATATAAGAATTCGATAGTTGCATTGGATGACTAACTCTCTATTGATTATTGAAGAAGTATTATAACTCGTATAGTTGAAGACTTGTCCAAGTGGGAGACTGTTAGAAAGAGTGTCCAAGGTCATTAACTATTGATAATATTTCTAATAATATAGGATCCTTTTAGGTTTCCCCCAAGACCCAAATTGAGTAGAATAAATAAAGGAGAAATTAGTTTATTAATTATTATGATTAATAAGCAATTAGAAACTAATTGAAAATATATTTCGGGAATTAATTAATAGTTTCATTAGTTAAAGGGTTAAATATTCATTAATCAATACCTGGTTAATGAGGAATGTTCTAGAACCCTTATGGGATTAAAGTTTGTATGAAATCCCTATTGGATAAGAGGGGATTTCGTTTTTGGCTCCTTATCCCACATGATATGGAGTACAAAACCTAGGAAGGAATCTAAGGATATAATAGGGCCTCAAGTATCTTATTCTTCCTTGCACCTTGGCTTGAAGTTTTGCTAACCCTTCTCCCCTCCCCACCATAGGGACGATTTCTAACCCTCTTAGGGTTTGTAAAATTGACCATTCTCTTAGTTATTTTTATTCCACTCTTTTTGTGTCATTGGGTGTGATACCATTAGAGGGATTCTGCTTTGGGTCATCTCATCCATGCAAATTTAAGTAGGACAAGATCTCAAGCATGGAGATCAAGAGCTACATAAAAGGTATGCTATTCTTCCTTTGTATTATGTTTCCATGGGGTAGCTGTAATTAGTATGAAGCCATAGATCCATAATTTGCATGTACACTTAGATATATCATAGTTTGATTGTTTCTTCTACCTAGTTTAAGTGTATTTGATGTATAGAAAATCCAACATAATTATTTTAGTATTTAGGGCTTAATTTATATAGTTAAAGATAAAAGATATTTAAAATGCTTTGAATTGAATAAATATAGGAAAAATCATGACATGGAGCAAAAGGAACAATTTAGAACTGATCTAGAGCTGAGAAGGAAAATAAATGTAAAAACGCCAGAAAATAGCCCGGGAAGCACTGTGCCCTACAAAAAATTCAGACACTTCATAAACATGATATCGAAAATGAAAAGATCATGACTGACTCAAATGTAGTTTACACTTAGCATCAGGAATCCTTATTTATCACGTCACAAAGTTACGCCGACCTAAAACACTATAAATAGATGATTTTACAAGCCCAATTCGGTGTGCAATCCTTGGGAACTTCTCCTAAGAGGTCAGAAGGTGTTCCAATCGTCTAAAAAACATTTTGCGTTGATTTTGAAGGTAGAGAAGCAATTTGGAGCAGATTTGAAGAATCAAAGCTAGGAGTGTTATTATGACGAATCGGTTTTCTTAATGATCGTGTTTTGTAAATTATTTCTTATGTTTTTCTATTTCTGTCTTTTGACTATGGGGTAAAACCCTAATGTTTACAGTAGATTAAATGTAACCTAACAATCTGGTGTTATTTTATTGTTCGAATATTGATTTTCTTTAATATATTATGTTTGTTTGATCAAAATATTTATGTGTTAAGTTTTGATTTTTTTTATCTATTGCCGAGTTATTTATTATTTAGACAACCAATCTAGTTGTATTAATTTGAATATTAATTCATTTATGAAAAATAAATTCTTAAGACTAGTGTTTGACAATGATGGGTTTTGTAGGTTACAAATAAAAAGATTTACGCAGCGGAATCATAAAACAATTTTCGCATATGCAACCTATAGATCTATAGCATTTTCTCATTATAGCAACATACTGTGAAAAACTAATCTAACCTATGTATTATCGAAAATCACAAAGATTAGAATACATACCTTTGAGTATCGAAAATACTCAAGCTTTGATCTTCAAGTGTTCCTTGGAAAGCTAACACTAATAGTGTGGATGCCTCTACTGGCTCTTACCCAATACCTTAGAACCCCTAGGAATGATTTGGAGAGAGGTGGGAGGAAGAGATTTCAATATCTTGCTTATGGAAATTCACCCCTTGCACCTAATTCTAATTAATCCAAAATTACTTTCCAATTAATTCTAAATTAATTCTTAACCATTTCTAAAGCATAGAAACCGAAGACTCGGAGGTGAGAATATGAAGGAGCTTTATTGTAGAGTATTTATTAAGGAGACATATGTTTGATGGTGGTGGAAGGAGTGATGTTGAAAACGTGAACAACCATGAAAAGAACCTTGGTCGAATATGTAGGAGGGAGACGAGCTTGAAAGAGAAGATTGCGGATAATGTTGTTGATTGTACGAATCGTATTTTCAAACCTCCTATTTTGTTGGGAAGTGTAGGGACAAGAACAACACATTTGGATGTCATTGGTGGTACAAAAATTATAAAGTTGAGTATTATTATACTCACCTCCATTTTCACATTGAAAATATATAATATCACATCGAAATTGATTTCTAACATGTGATCTAAATTGAACAAAATTTTCAAACACATCATATATATGTTTGATAGGAAGCACCCAAATATAATGAGAAAATTGGTCAAGAAATAAAACATAATACTTAAAACCAAAATTGCTAAGAACCGGAGATGTCCAAACATCAGAATGAACAATTTCAAAAGCATAAATAGCAATAAAATTTGACAATGTAAAAGGAAGCCTAACATGCTTGTGTAACTGGCAAGACTAACATAAAGTAGAATTTTCAATGTATTTGCAAGGAATTAAATTTTGCGTAGATAGTTGATTAAAAGCTTCTTGATCGGGGTGTCCAAGCCGTTGCCAAATGGTAGAATTAGGAGAGACTAGAGCTTGATGGGTAAGTAACGTGACATGGTAAAAGTCACCAGAGCTGTCACATCAGAGAAGAATTTGCTTGGTTTGAAAATCATTCATAGAAAAACAATAAGCATCAAATTCTATAGAACAAAGATTATCACGAATAAACTTAACAATGAAATAATCCTTCTCATTAAATCACTATATATAACATAATACAGAGACATGAGCCAATTACAAAGAATACGAGCTTGACAAACTACAATACAACAAATATACATTAACTATAGCGACGACTAGGGATTTTAGCGACGCCCACTATTAGAGACGACACTAATGGTGTCGATTTTTGAGTATTAGCTGCGAGTTAATAGCGACGATCTTTTTGCGACGACATGTCATCGCTGAAGGTATTAGCGACGATTTGAGGCACCAATTGCGACTTTATTTGTCGTCGCTAAAGGTAACTTTTTTTATTGTGTATTAGATTACGCATTGAATATTTAGAATGTATTTAGCAATAAAACAATTTTAAAGTATATATAAAGAAAACACTTGTGTCTATAGATGCACTAATGTCGCATAAATCAACAAATGCATGATCCAAGCTCATATTTCCATCATGAGATGAAATCGTCACTACAAATCCATCATTGTTTCCAAATATTCAATCAATATAAATATTAAAAAAGACGAATACGGATGTTCAATTTTAACTCAAAACTTGTTATTTTAAAATAAGAACTGTAGTACACAAATCTTGGTCACTGTAAGCTTAGGAATTAAGAAAAAGGAAACCCTAGAAATATACAAGGAAGACAAAAAGAGAGTGTGGGCTAGGGGTATGGAACAGAAATAAAATAAACACAACACACCCTTCTCTCTTCTCCCTTCCTTTATCTTTCCAGGCTCCTATCTCTCTCCGTGAAAGTCTCTTATTATTGATGTGATTCTCCACCATACCCAGCCTCATCAAACTTTTACAAAAGAAAAAAAAAGAGAGAGCTTTCAATTAGAGAACGCCCATTGGAATTTGGATATGGTTTTCTCCTCACTTCCTTGTTATCTAGATCCTTCTAATTGGCATCAACAGGTAACGAATGATTTTTCTTCAATTTCATATACATTTTAAAACACAAAAGAAAAAAAAGTTGATTATTTATATTAAAAAAAATATATAATGATTTCATATATTCCTTGTGTTGTTTCTACTTTATTAATTTGTAGTAGTATATTCCTACAGTTTAATCTTCTTGCTTTTTCAGCAACCAGCTGGAGGTGTTGAAGTTGGTGGTGATCATGAGATTTCTCATCAGCTTCCTCCATCACTGTTGTCACCACCTCAACCGCTGGGGAGCAGTGGGGATGGAAGATCTTTACAGACGTCGGAGCGTGGAAGGATGGCGAAGCTTCCACAGCCGGAGATGGCAATGAAATGCCCTAGATGTGAATCAACTAATACCAAGTTCTGCTACTTCAACAACTACAGTCTGTCACAGCCCCGTCACTTTTGCAAAACTTGCCGGCGGTACTGGACTAGAGGTGGCGCCTTGAGGAACGTGCCAGTGGGTGGTGGTTGTCGGAGAAACAAGAAAAGTAGCAAGGCATCAAGGGGTTCTAGGTCAAAGTCCCCAGCAGCTACTACAAGCTCAACTAGCAATACTCCGATTTCTCCTAATTATAGCTGCACCACAGATATATTAGGGCATAATACTCGACCATCTCAGTTTCCAATTTTGCCCCCCTTGCATCACTATACAGGTGGGGATCTTGGGTTAACATTTGGGGTTGGAAATGGAACTGATTTGATCAATCTTGGTCATGATAGTAATTACCCTACTAGCAAATTTGCTCACTTTCCGTTTTTGGAGGCTGCTAACGGTGGGATGTATGGCGAAGGTCCATCGAACTACAGTGGACAAGTTGGAGGAATGAAGATGGATGAAAATCATCATCAACAAGAACAACATCAAGCGTTGAATTTGTCAAGAAACTTTCTGGGTATTTCAGGAAACGAGCAGTTTATGAGTACCAGCAATGTTGCATGGGGTACAACTCATCTTAGTGGCTTCACTTCTTCTTCTACTACCACCACCCATATCTTGTGATTTACCTTGTTTTCTTATCTTTCTATTCTAAGCTTTCTTCTTTTTCACTTCTTTGCACGAAAGCCATGTGCATTGTGCATCGCTAGTGATTGAAAGATTAGCATACGATGCACAATGTATAAGTAAACTTTGCATGCGACATGATCAGAATGAAACAAGATGGACTGAAAATCAGGGTTTCTTGGAAACCCTAGGGCATATATAGTAGCTTAATTCTAGTGATATATACATCTATATTTTGCTTTGATTAATTGATGAGATTGTAATTTGTAAGTTGCAATGTACTACTATCATGTGATTCAAGTTCTCTTATATATGTGGTTGTTGATGTTAATCTGCGTTGATGTTAATTTTAATATAAACTTTACTCTAAACTTCATCAACACACCCATATCGTACATACCAAAAATGCTCAAGAAACCTTGGAATTTTTTTTTGAACAGCAAGAAAGATTGGATTATTTTCCTTTCAAGGTTCTATAATATCTTTCGGCTTATTTTACGGTTTTAAAACTTAATGCCGCTTTTAAACTCAGTTTGTAGAAGTGGACCGGTTTGTTAAAATATAAATAGGAATTTAAAGGGGGAATTTGTTTAAGCGTGTATAGTTGCTCGTTATATTAGATATCATAATGATATGGTCATAGTATCATTAGTGATGTCATATGAATTGGGGAACTATACCCTTTTTAATGACGGAAATTTTGTGCAAAAAATGTTTGAGACGTTCATTGTGTCATCCCATATGATACCAAAATTATCTTTACATGTTCTTGGCTAAAGTAGCTTCATAAATGTAACAACTTTAATTTGCTACTTGCTACCCTTGACTATGACTTACGCCTTAACTGAAGGTAAAAAAAATGTCTCTACATTCCCTTTAACTAGCTATTTTCTTGAAAACCGAGTCCTATTGTTATTGTATATCATATTGCTGACACGTCAAATTAATGCGAGAGGATTCGAATGCTAAAAAGCATGTAAGAGAGAATCGATGTAGTACACCAACTCAAAGTTATAGATTTACTAAACCAAATGACTCACAAATAACTAAATGCTTAGATGTTAAACTTATTGCCTTCTCAAAGAAGGGTGTTTACTATATATACTCACTGCCAAAAACGTGAAAAAGATAGCCACCAAATTTGAGAATCATTATTCTCATAACGCACATGTTAAGCCAAAAGGCAATGAACAAATGTATTTAGTAAGTACTAATTAATGTCCATAGTCATAATGTCACATGCATGTCCAAAACAGTAGACCAAAAATCCACATTAACCCAACTCTTAGTGAGATATATACTAATGGCTCGTAAGAACTACAAGTTGGGGCTAGCCCACTTGACTAACAAGGAAGTTTCTAATCTAACAACTAACTAGGAGGTTCTGGGTTCAATCCCAGGCAGAGGAGATATTTAAATTATTTGCCGTTTCAAAAAAAAAAAAAAAAAAAAAAAAAATCGAAGAACTCACTTGATAACATGCATTTGGTGTTATAGTCATTTGCTCATGAAGAAAGATTCATACGTATAAAGAGGGTCGGTACTCGGTACTCAAACAAACACATATTCAAGCCTTCAAGGTGTTAAAAAAGGGTCGGTTAGTCGTTTATGGTAATAAAAAACGATTAATTTCTTATATCATACGAACAAGATTAGAGGATTAAAATTTCATTGGGTTTTATAAATGAACTGTTAAAAATTAAAGAAGTGTTTTGTGGAATATTTTAACACGAAATAAAACATGAGTATGATAGTGACAAGGCACTTCAGATTTTAGCAGTAAGGTACCATTAAAATAGCAACTAGCATTGAATTCTGTTGTTGCTTTTTAAAGGCTAACACTTGAGCAAACTCCCATTTCGAAAGTGAAGAAAATTTGTTATCAAGCCCATGCTTATACGGACCAGTGTGTGTACAAGTAAAACTCTGTGTGTAATGTCTGACTGCAACTGCTTTTTCTCTTTTAATCTGAGTCTTGAATCTTGAATCTTGATCTACGTGGCATTCCATACAATTAATTCAAAAATCCCCATTCCCCTTTTACAGACGTCAATTCTACTGCTCACATATCAAGAGTCAATTTCACAGGTTCAAGGTAGATATCCCTTTCTTTATTAGAATCTTTTGTTTGTAAAGGGATAATAACTTAAAAGGGTAACATATTTTTTGATATGTACATATTTAGTCACCGAGTTTTTTTTTGTCCATGTTTACCATTGAACTTGTTGAACTGTTCAAAAAACATCCTTATGACCTGCAATCATAGGTTTAACCGGTTTCCGGCGAGTCTCCGGTCATTTTCTCCGGCGAGGCTCCGATGTTCATGATTTTTCCGGCGAAACATAATCTTTTTATAAAACAAAGATTAACACATCAAATATATTCCAGATTCAAGAACACATACAAAAATAAATATATAAACACACATACATACACATCAAATCACTATTCATCGTCTTTAACCTCCAAGCCACCATTAAAATCAAGTTCTTGGGTTTATGATTTTCAGATGATGGTGTTCGAAGGGAGTGAAAGATAGTATGTGTTGTTCCAAAATCGACTTCAGAAAGGAAAGAAGAGAGAAGTGTATGAGTGTTGTTCCAAAATCATGAACACACTAACTGATCTGAAAATCGTTCCAAAAACCAAAATCTCAGATCTGGGAAGAAGATGAACACGATGAAGATCTACAAACAAAGAAGATGAACACCTACACACACATACTTCGATTTATGGAGGCTGAAACACATACACCAGATATGTGATGAACACAGATAAATATACATCAAATTATTGTTCATCATCTTCAACCTCCGTTCATGGTGTTCTTAAGCAAATCTGAAACGATTTCTTGAGCAAAACTTTGGTTTTTTGAAGAATAAAACACCAGAAATGATTACTTGAGCAAAACGATTTCGTCCGTGGCAGATCTAGCAAAAAACGAAATCATACACACATGTAGGTATAGGTTCGTGTTTTGATCTAATACATACACACACACACATTCAAATCTGAAGAAGTTCTCAAGAACACGATGAACAACCCTGATGAACCTGATAAAGATCTCAAGAACACGATGAACAAACCCATTAGAAGATCTCGATAGATCTAGAATTTTTGATCGGAGAAGATGAAGATGAATAATTATTTTCTGGGTTTGAGTTCTTGAGTTTGAACAAAAAAAGATGAAAATGAAGAATTGATTTCTAGGTTTGATTTCTTGAGTTTGAAAATCCAACACCCATATGGGTTTATGTTTGAAATTTGTTCAGATCTAACACAAACACACACGTCAATCTGAAATTTATGATGAACTCGTTTTTTGATCGTTGTTCTTGAAGATGTTTAACCTTGGTTGAAGGGGTTGAAGACTTTCCAGAGGAAAAACACCTAAATCTAAGTTTTTTGGTGTTTTTGGCCGGATACTCGTCGGAGTCTCGCCAGAAACCGGCTAAACCACCGATAGCAGGTAATAAGGATGTTTTTTGAACAGTTCAATAGGAAAACATGAACAAAAAAACAAACTCAGTGACCAAACATGTACAAATCCACAAATATGTTACCCTTTTAAGTCATTATCCCGTTTGTAAATATATGCACTTTTTTTAAATGACATGGAATCATATTGAGAATTAATGTTGAAATTGTAGTCTATCTTTGGGTTGATACATCTTTCTTTAAATATATACAGAAAATTATAGTCTTGGTCTTTGTGGTTTGCTTAGAATAATAGTTTTTGGCCTACTATTGAAAATGTAACAACATTTGTCCCTATAGAGGTTTTTCGTATCACCGATAGTCCTAAGGACCGTTACCGTTTCCCAACCTTCCTTTTAGTGTATATATATTGACGAAAATGCCCTTGTTTTTTTGTTCTATTTTTTTTCTTTTGACCAAATTTGCTATAACCCAAAACATTAGGGACCAAAACTGAAACATGGGGTTTAAACCTACCGACGACCTCTTCACCTTCCCGATTGCCGATCTATCCCCCTTCCCCGTCCTTTTATCTGCCTAATGCGATCTCTTCACGATCTATATATATAAACCAATCCCTAACCATGAAACACACACCTTTGAACCTTCTCCCATAAACACCCATCATCCTCACCACAACTACACCATGAATACCAAGGAAATCAAATCTTTCCTCCAAGCCCTTACTGACACAAAACGCCAAACAAAAGTGATATTGCTATATTTATACATATATTTATACATTATTTCAAAACATTTGAGCTGTATTTAGTTTAATACAAGGATATTTGGTACTTATAAGTATAAATTTTGTTTTGTAGCCAAAGAAAGACATTCTCGTGAGAAGGGACCAAAACGAAGTAAAGATGGAAAACTTGGAGGTTGGAGCTTGTATCAAGGAGAATAAGAGAAGAATTATACATAAAAGAAGATTTCCAACGTGTGGCATCTCCTAATCCACAACGTGGTGTTAAGAACCTTCTCGATTGACCAACGATGAAGCTTGAGGAATACGCATCTGATATGATTCCCACGACGTGGCGACTATATGGCCACGACATGGAAGTTATAATTTCGCAAGTATAAATGTCGATTTTTAGGTCAAAATTCGGGATGCATGTATAGAGAGCTGCTGTTTTCTTTGACTAAAAGCAACCAAGAACCCTTGGAGACCGGATTTCGATTGAAGAACAAGAGTTCGAGAGATTAAAGTAAAGATTCATCATTAATCATTCGGTTTTCCTAGATTTACTATGTTTAAACCAGATTACTATTTGATTATGTGTGTTTTTCTGTAATCATGGGCTAATAACCATTTACTTTCGGTTAGATTAGATGAAACCTAATACTATGTGTTAATTTAGGCTTTCATGAATTATTAAAGTTGGTTTTAGCTTGTGTTTAGTAGATTAATATCCTAGCATGTTAAAGTTTCAATCTTTATTGCCTTACCATCAAGTTTTGTATAGTTGAATGGTCATTGATTGCATGAAGTTGTTTACCTACTTGTTTATGATCATTAAATTGCTAGAGCTAGAGATTGGCCATATCTTAGTATAGGTGGTGAAGTTATCTGCTTGACTGTGCTAAAGAGCATTATTGCATCATAATATATGCTTGATTTTTTATCTTGATGATAGATAGATAATTCTTAGATCTATTCATTCATTATCCAAATCTATCTTAAAATCAATTTGGTGTACCTAACTTGCATGATCATTGTGTTT